TTCATCATATTGGAAGTGGCTTTCAACAAACTGTAGGTAATCGGTTGTTGTACATATATACATTTTGGCACATCAGATTCAAAAGTTTAATTTAAAATTAAAAATCTTGTAATACAAATTTACATTTACATATGTTTTCGACAACTTGAATTTTTTTCATGTGCGAATTAACTTGGCGAAGAATGTCATTCGTTTCGAGTATATTTTTAAGACTGACAAAATCAAGACGTACAGAACAAACCAGAGGATTGGATCAACTGAAAATTACTAAGCTGTTACAAGAAGCCAACAAATGGTGGGACCTAGAATTTTTAGGACTCTTATGTATATACATACACACTATACTTTTGTTGTATTAATATACCAATTTTTCCTTATTTGGAATAACGTTACCAAAAAAAAAAGTAATATTCACGCTTACTTCTTGAATATATTCCACTTCACAGAAATGATTTATATTCAGTCAAAGGTTAAGTTATGAGGAAAGGCGCTTATCAGTACATATCAGTACGCAATGTGAATCCAGTGTTTTCGATCTAAAATAAAATCATACACCAATATTCTTTTACTATCAATACATTGAAATTTTTATCAATAAAAAATACATATGTACGCTTCTGTGATTACTTTATTATAAAACGCAGCGATGGTTAATTAAGAAATATATTTTGATTTCTGGTATTAATTCTGTAGAAATTAAAGTGGAGTGTAGTGGTGTGTTTTCATTATTTTAGAGATTCCTGATTCATATATTTATTTTTTATCCAGCTCCATGCGGTATTGCTTCCTATTACCAAGGTGTTATTTTCAACTCCATATTTCCATCTGCGGCTTAGTCGGTCCATCTACCTACCTATCACTAATAAATATTGCAACGCTAGAGCTTTGGACACAGCATACATCATATATCACTTGATTGGTGACAGAAATTGGGATTTGAACTCTGATTTTCAGTGTAAACGTTTAGTTGTAGATTCGAATGTAAGATGCCAAGTTGGATACTCTTAGATCTTTTTTTTACGGATTTTTTAACAAAACTTCATGTCTGAAAACATCGATGCTGTATGTTACAGCCGTTCAATTTCGATCATTATCAGCATCAATGTGTAATTCTTTAGTTGTGACAAACTTATGAACCAAAATTTCATATCTGAGATTTTGGTCGTATATACTCGTATGCAATTGAAGTCCGATCTAGTCGGTTTGACAAACATCCGCTTAAATGTACCAGTGCATCTGTGTAGCAAATTTGATTGAAATATTTACCTCAAAAAACTGAAGTTTGCGTACAAACAGACGGACAGACAGATATGGCCAAATCGATTCAACCCGTCACTATGACCCGTTCGGTATAAATTCTGATCGGCACTCTTCTCCTTCTGGTATTTACATACTACGGATTAAAGTTGACAATCCATTTCATTTTCATGAAAGGTATAAAAATCGATTTGTACTTCATTTATCAATTATATTTACTTCACAGAAAAACACAATCTTACAATAATCAGGAGAACAAGAATATGCAGCGATGCCACAGTTGTAGTATGAAATGGCGACCATTGGTCTAAATGCTCCAATTCATAACTTAAAAAATAATCAAAGTAAATTTTTGAGAAAGCAAAGCACTTTTATTGTGGGCATATTCTACAACACTAGCAAATCAATATGCAAGCAAAAAGTTTCACGGTTATAAAAGAGCACCGTTAGTTCGACTAATATGACAATATTTTCTGTCCTGTTATTTCTTGTATAGAGTTTTCCAATCTTATATTATTTATATCAATGGAAAAATGAAATTTTTTGAGGTAAATGATCGGATGTTTATTTCAATGCAAAAAGTAAGTTATGTCATCAAAATCGGAAAACAATATCAGCCAAATGGTCGCCAGAGCCACTCTACAGGACCGTATCCTTTGTATCATCACAAGTCGCACCACAAGTCACAAAGCGGCTAATTTATGTCCTCAACAGCTTCACCAACTCCATCTTTATGGTTTTGAAACGACGTTGGCTTGTCGGCGTAGATCTTATCTTTCACGTGGCTCCAAAGGAAGTAGTCGCAAGGTGTTAAATCACAAGATGTCGGTGGCCAATAAATCTTGGGTTTTCCGAGCTCTAGATGCGACAGTTCTGCTCATTGAAGTAGCCTTCACGGTGGAAGTCTGCCTCATTAGTTAAGATGATTTTTCGATTGAATTCCGAATCATTTTCATGCATTTCACGGACACAATCAGCAAATGCACGACGTCGTTGATGATCGACCGGCTTGATTTCTTGTATTAGCTGTACTTTATAAGCCTTAAGACACAAGCATTTATGCAAAACAAGGTATGATGACGTTTGTGGAATGTCCAATTCCAAAAAACGTTAAGAAATGGACCAACCTGGGTTTTTTTCATCACATTGAGCGACGTGCACATGTTTTATTCTTCACATTACTACGTTCTCTGCCATTTGAAAAATGAATTTTAATAATTTCAGTGCGTTGAAGCGTCTGTCGTTCCATTTTTTATTACTGGCGTAGCTTTTACTTCTCATATTTAAGAAAAGTACAGCTTCAAAAGTGACTCAAACCTGAAAAGCAGGCTTTTCAAATAGTACCTCTTAGGGAAAAGCCTTATACTTGGCACAGGTTAATACCTAAGCTGGCACGAAATAATAAGCAAGAAGAATGCATCCACCAATGCAATATATTCACACTTTACAAATTACCACAAATAACACCAATATTTTTAATCCGATATCAAGGTTAACCACTTTTTTCTCACAAATACATTTTCCACTGCATTTGGGAAAGAACAAATAACATATAAGATTAAAAATATTTTTCACAATCTCCATGCTAAGGTGAGCTCAGTGAATGGAAAAATAGTGCATATCAGTTTGGCAAAAATTTAAATTAAAATCCACAAATGAGGGTTTCAATTTCGAAATCAGAATCATCAAGCAACTTATTTTTCAGACTATTGAGTAACTTTTTCATGTGAAGTATTAAACAAGTAAGCCAAGTAAATTGGCTCGTCATAAAATTTGCTTGAATGAACTACGAAAGATCTAGGTTTATGCAACAATATTTTTTTTTAAATGCGTTCATTTTGGCAGCCTTGACTTCATAGAGATGGAAATTATATATATACATACATACATATATTGCAAAAAAGATAGGGGCCTACTGTTTATACTAAGCCCACCTCGGAGTGCCGACGGATGTTTATGAGGATCCCTTATTTCATGTCACAAATACACTCGGAAGGTTGGATATTCCCTGCGGAGGGGCGGTCGCAATTAAGAAATTTTATTTTTTATAATTTTATTGTCGAATCAGTCCTCGACGCCTGGCCTTCCGACTCATGCGATTTAAGCCTAGAAAAAATTTTGATAAATTATTTTATTGGTTGATGAATGGATGAAGGAGTGCTGGCTACAAACCGACTAAAAAAGCTCGTGAATGATTGAATGCCGCGGTCTACGGGGTACGAACTGACAAAAGTAAAATGCACGCGTCCTTATGGTAACGAGAAATTTGACGAGTACACTGTTGGCTGTTGACCAATTAATTATAATTCTCATTTGATAGGCGACAAAGAGTAGACGCAGCGTTGCAAAAATTGTGTAGACATGTAATGTTCAAAGAATCAATAGATTTTATTTTAACTAACCGCGGAAACGAAAAAAACAGAAATTTTAACTAGGGATACGAGCTTGTAATCGCATTAAGCCCGATAATAAATTCCTCAATACTCATCACTTGAGCGCATAGAATAATTATTATGGAACAAAATAGAAATAACCCCAAGATGTTAATCTATAGTTATTCACGTTACTTTTTCAAATGTTACAACTCAACGCCCGGGCCTTAGTAATGTCTTCTCCAAGTTTGGCAAAGAAGCGGAGCGAATGGATATGGTAGTGAACGAAGACGAAATATTTTCGGAATTCAAAACATACAGTCATCGCATGCGCGACTCGGTTCCCACGTTACTATTGGCAGTCCTAACTTTGAATTGAAGTCATGGATAACTTCGTTTATCTTGGTGGCAGCATTAACACCATAAACATGGATTGAGTAGTTAAAAGTTAAGTTCTCTCCCGATGAACGAAAACCAAACTCTACAAGTCGCTTATCCGCTCCACTATATGGCGCGGACGATGACAATATCTGATGAGTGTGCGTGAGGATTTTTCGAGAGAAAGGTTTAGCGTAAGATGTATGGTCCTCCGTACAACGACAATGGCAAATACCGTAGACGATGGAACGATGCGAGATATACGGCGACATTGACATAATTCAGCAAACAGCGACTACGATGGCTAGGTCATGTGATCCGGAGGGATAATAGTACTTCAGCTTTATAAGTTTTCACCAATTGGATGAATCAGGTGGAGAAGGATCGAAGGAATGAATGGCGCGCTGTTTTTAACTAGTCTATAATGACGTCCAGGCTATAAAAAAAGAGGGGTATCCAAACGCTCCTCAAAATGTTGAAAGAATTATTCTACTTCACATACTCATTATTGGCATATATTTATTTTAATTTAAACTATTCCAAAGCGTTTTTTATTTATTTTTATTTTTTGTTTAAATGAACTCTATAGCAATTTTAATTGCAAAAAATTGGAAATTGTGGAATCTGAGCGATTTATCTATTAACCAGCAATTTTTTTTGCACAACAACTAAAAACTCACGAATAGCTATCTCTCATAACACTTGGGAACATACTTTTATGTACATATAATCATATGAATGTACAATAAACATGACTCGACCTTTGGCGAATATGATTGGTGGTGAATTTGTTGATTATATAACTAACCACAAACCCTTGAACTCTGTAGTAACCACAATTTTAAAATTCCTGTTTTATAAACTTTCAGAAAGCCACTTAAAGGCTAAGATATTAATTGCAGCATCGATATGGTAAATTTCGGAAAAGAGGCGTAAGAATCGCAGACGCTTAAAACTCTGCTCCTAATAATTTATCTTGTATGTGTAACTTACCACACAATTAAGAAGAACAAATTTCAATGCACAGCTAAACAAACTTTCAAAACTTCTAATTAACACACTCCAACTGTAGGCAAACAAACACTTATGAAACACTTTTAATTAAATATCCACTTTGCTTAATGATGGCTTCTGTACACGTTTAAAAATAGGTATTTCACTTTATACTCATTAAATTTGTTTAAGTTTATATTTGTATGTTTTGTGGTTGTTGTTTCCATTATCTGCATACGAATTTTTTATAACATTTTATTTGTTGCGAAAATCTTTTAATTGGCGCCAACGCTAATGAACTCTCAAGTACGCACAATTACAATACAAATTAAATACCTCGGCATACAAATACATGCACGTACGCAAATTCTTATAGACACACTTCTCACACATACATATGTATGAATTTATTTACATATGTTCACATCCCCGCGCTGGTGTTTTAAAGATTTCATTGTAAATATGTGCATATTCATATTTATGTATAAACTGTAATAAATGTAAACAAATATTTTTCATTTCCGCTTTGCTTTTCTGTTGATAATATTTTTTTGATTTTTACTCTCCACACTCATTACTGTATTTTGTTTTTTAAACAATTTTCATTTTGACAGGAAAACACTTGTTGGATTACTTTGAATTCAAAAAGTAACGCCGCTCACATTCAACGAAACAACAACGCAACGCCACTACACCACAATACCGTTACCCATCCAAGAGGCGAATAAGCAGCCAACACGAGTATCCGCACTCGAATGCCCGAACTACACTGACACAACTGTTCACCTCCGATGCCGAAATATCAATGAGCTGCCGACGCAATCAAATGCTCGTAGATTCTCGCATTGGCTAATAAAACTTACTTCGTGGTTGTATCAATTGTTTACAATAATTGTTGTTATTTGCTCTACCTTTATGTTGTTGCTGTTTATTGCTCTGTAGCATCGCGAATATGTATGGCAGTATGTGGGGGGAACTTTTCTGATGTTGGGATGAGCGAAAGCTCAGCCACAGCTTTGCGGTGCACTTGTTGCATGCATTTACTGTTGGAATTCGTAGAGCATATGACCTACCTGGGTACCTGGGAAGCGTGTGCGGCCGTTTTTAGACGGCCTCGCACACATTTACACCCCCATAACGCGGATATTAAGCGTGCTTCCGGTTCAGCATCTGTAGGCAAATTGCAGCAAATTGAATTTCGAATAATTATGGCCGAAGGCAAGTACATTCATTCATATGTACATACACGTATAGACGAATTAATTTGGCTTAAAAATGCTGGGTGATTTGTTTTGAAAGTATTGATTTCATTTGACGTGATTTGTTTTGAAAATCCTTCGGGTTCAAAGCTTTTGAGTAACTGAGTTTTTTCCGCATAAAAGTCATGTAGCCGTAGCGTGACCAAAAATAACCTACCTCAACTCCTGTCAAATCACCTACATACATATGTTTGTATATGTGTGCGTAACTAAGTGGGTGTGAGAAAATGTTACTGTTACTGTGGAGTATTAAGGCAATATGTTTATAAATACGTAGGCATGAACTAGTTATTTTGCGGTTACCATGAAAAAGTGGTCACTTTTACAGTTTTAGATTCGTGCAAAAAAGTTCCTAAATTTACTGCACTTGAAAACGTGTGCGTGTACGTAGGAACCTAAATACAAGCATGTACTAGGGGATTGACAAATTTTCGAAGATTACTCTGTTAGTCTCTCTTTAAAATTTTAGAACGATTGGCGACGGGAAAAAGCAAAATGACTGAGAATTGGTTAGACGCGATTCCACCACCAATGCAAACAGAAATTCACCAAGTGATTCTTGTCGGATTTTCGGCGTAATTTACAGCCCAATACAAATATTCAGTGAGTCCCAAATTGTATATGCAACGATTGCACCGTATTTAAAGATTATTTCTGAAGACTCCAGACCGGAGATTTTCCATTGAAGACGAGCTCCGAGAAGGTCCACCAAAATCTTCCACTGCTGACATCACTGTAGCTCTGGTGAATTCCAAATTGGCGACACCCCACCATTGATAAAGCAAATGATTGATAATGAATTGGGCTTGAATGCCATGGCTGTATCGCGAATTTTAATTAATCATCTGAAATACACGAAGAAATCTGCTCGATGGTGTCAGCTTACTGCACCCGATCTAAAATCGGAAAAGGGTCAGAGGTAACTGAAAAATGGCACACCGAAAAGTGCTTACCAAAAGTTTTCAAAATTTTTTTTGGAAAACAGGAAGAAAGAGGATTTGCGGCGCTACTTTTCCATCATGACAAGACAACGCTCCATCCTACACTGCTGAAATAATAATTAATTTTATTCCGATCTCTGGGATGGCACCTTATGATTTCTGGTTATTTCCAAAAATTAAAAAAAAAAATAAAAGGAACGGCCCTTAATCGCAACGAGGAGATAATTAATGCGGTTAATGCTGAACTTTATTAGCTTAAAAAGTAAGATTTTGATCTACAGGGTTAAGAAATGCTTTGAAAACAATGGCGATTATGTAGAGAAGATCAAAAAGCACAAAGATTACGAATAAATACAAAAAGGATTTTTTTCTGATCGACCGAACTTTTGTTATTCCCTTCATATATGTATGTACACGTATGTAGATATCTACATACATATTTTTTTGCGTCACAGATTCTTATCCTTTGGTTTAATTAATGTAGGGCAGATGATGAAACTTTTTGATGGTATTCAAGAAGGGAAGTCTTCTAACGCCAAACTGGTATTGTAATTTGTTCAGTATCCAAAACAATATATGATGTGGGCCAGCTGAATAAAGTTAAATGATTTTTCTTTATGACACTGTTTCGTTTTATCATACTTAATGTTATGTAATGTGTGAGATTTCTGCTAGGTTGGGCTAAGCAACAACCCAGAACATTTACCATTTGCTATACCAATGATTTGAACCAAAGGATAAGCGTAAGTGATTGTTATTTTAGTTTGACTCAAGCAAAAAGTATTATTGTTTTTTTCACTCAACTGATGTGGCACCCATGTATCGAGCTTCAAAGAGAACCCAACCTTTTTTAAACGATGAAACGCAGTTGATTTGTTGACGTTCAATTCACTGGCAACCTCTTCCGTCGAAATACGTGAGTTATTCGCAACTAAAGTCCTTAGAACATCGTCATCAAGCTCAGAAGGCCGTCCACTACGAGGTTGATCTTCGAGGTTAAAGTCTCCAGAACGAAATTTCGCGAACAATTTCTTTACTGTGCGGAGTGCTGGAGCTCGGTCCAAATAAACTTCGCGAATATCTTTAGCCGCAGCGCCTACTGTTATTCCTTTGCGGAATTCGTACAACATAATATGACGCATATGGTATTTTTCGTTCTCCATCTTCCATGCGTCTTTTCACTAAGCAACTCAAATCGAAATGAAGTTATTTTATGCTTGATTTACAGTTCGGACTGTCACCTTTCCAACGATATATAATATGTATATATTTCTTTCACGAGCGCCACTCTCAAACGATTCGAACGGCATCCCGCGGAATCGGGCACGAACTTATGCACTCATCCAATACTACCAAGTCCTAACATACTGTTTAATATCCAAACTTTTTTTTCGGCCAAAGAAATCGACACTATAAAGTGCCGACCTGCCTACGCCTTCATTGAAATATTATTGTTTGGCGATCCTAATACCTAAAAAAAATTAAATTTTTCCTGTGACAAAATTGTTTAAATTTTGTTAACCAGTATTATAACAAATAATGTTCGGTTACAGATGAATTTATAAAAGAAAGTGAATTTATAAAATTTATAATAGCAAATTTCAGTTTTCCTTCAAATATAAAGAGTTTTCTACTCTTTCCCGATGTGGATTTTCGGCCAATTTGTGGTGAGCGTCCGGATGTTCTTTCTCACCTACATCTTGTGACAAGCCGCTTTAGAAACTGCTGACGGATTTTAATGAGAAGGTTTTATTTCATGTGAGAAATACACTTGGATGGTGTGGAATTCCTTGCCCAGGGTCGGCAGCAATTAAAAAATTTTTATTTCATTTTTCAATAAATTTACTTTCAATCTCTTGTCGGTCCATCCAGGTCTCGAACCCATGGCCTTCCACGAAAGAAAATTAGGTGATAAGTCAATCATCTGAACGGAATGAGATTCTAAGATACGAAAGCAGACGGAATGTAATTCTGATTCTATTTGTAATAGATAGTATTTGGATCGCATTTTTAGGTTACAATAAATGTACAGTACCGAGAGTTTATTAAAGGAAAAAATGTAGCAAAGAGAAGCTAAATATCTCCAAACAAATTTTTATATTTCAATTGAATTTATGGAAATGTTAAAAGCTTAAACGAATGAATGCAATTATGAATACGCACAATACAGACATACATACGTCCATATGTATATTTAAATATCTGGTGGGTAACCACCAAAAATTTGCCCTCTTTTAATTAAACAATGATTCTATTGTGAAAATATATAGAAATCGTTTTTCAGTTATTTCCTGATGAAACATATTAAGTTACCAATGTTTCTTGAAATAAAATAATTAAATTTGACAATTCACTATTCAATAACAAACAATCACATTTGAATAATTCCGAAATAAAAAAATATCAATTTACACTTTCAAAAAAAATGTAAAAAATATTGCACAAATGCCCGCAAGTCTAATTAACAAACCGAAATATTGGGCTTTTTCTTTTGCTTGAAATATGATATTTGAAGTAATATGTAAATACCAGAGCGTTTGGTAGTGCGTACTACCATGCGGAAGGTCCTGGGCTCGAGTCCTGAATGGACTAACATCAATATTTAATGATGGCAGGGTGCAGTCAAGTTTCTGAATCTCCAGTTATAATCGCAGAACTATATTCAATTCCTACTTCGCGGCCACGTCTAGCACTCAACCCCTTGTGAGATAGTTAACTATGATCCGCTCTACTGCTTTTAGCCCGAAGGAAGAAAAGCTTATGGGCCTAAAATCCTTAGGGTAACTATGAGTCCCCTAGTCCTGTGGTTTCCGTCATTCCCTCAATATCACTGCAAAAATCCCTAAGTTCGTCTTTAAATGCTTTCCAGTGAGAGTCTATAGTTAATCTCTTTCGACCACCAGTGCGGTCTGCGCTTTCCTCGCCGCATGCGCACTGGACATGCTCGACTTAGAGCTTCGGAGCACGAATTTGTAAAGAAGTCTACTAGATTATCCAATTCCAAGAAGGAGATTCTAGCACTGGACTACTTAATTGGTTGGTGATGGTAGTCTGATATGACTACCACTTCATGTGCCTGGGACTGGATTTGGTTTTGACCATGGCAAGATCCATGATTGTTTCAATGTATCGGGTCCCCAAACAACGTACTCTTGAGTTAATCACCCATAGTTCTTGGATGAGAACCACTTCAACATCGCCTTAAGAAAGGCGATGTATCTCGGCCGCTGATGGCCCTCTCCCACAGCTACAACGGTGGCGAAAAGTGTGAACTCTTCGTGGCTATAAAGCAGCTCCTCCTCCATATACAAGCCTTGTAGAGCCTCTGCA